AAGAGAGAACATGTGACGCCCTCTGTAGCCAGAGGGCGCTCCTTCTCTGTCCTGTCTCTCATTTCTGGTTATCTGCTGTCCTTCCAGTGTTTCTCGCACTCTGGGGCTATATATTTCCGGGTCTTGCACTCTGCCCGGGATCAGCATTGACGTTCGGATGTTTCTTTGCACTAAGGAGCCCGGGCCTTTTTCCCGTTCTGCCGCTACGCATAGGGTCATTTTAGCTCTCCTGCCTCTCCACTGTTCGTCCCGTTTTCAGACATCCGTGACAGAACACAAACCAGGACCTCAAAAAATGGAGTTCATTTTGATACCTTTAAAGCATATTACATTTGGAGGATTACTTAGCTTCAGGTCACAATAATTTATTGAAAAGATGACCAATCAATAAGAACCTGCAAGGTGGAGAAAGGCATTACACCTGCTGATGGCATAACCAATCACCAGACGTGTGCTGGACTTTAAAAAGTATTGTAACCAACCAAAAAAAACATTGTAAGGCCATAAACTTTGCTTACTGTCTCTGTTATTAATGCCATACCTGGCCAAAGAATAACCATGTGACAGCATCCAGCATTGTCTGAGTCAGGAAACTGAAATTCAGTTTAAGATACCATGGCAAATCTTGTGATTAGCTAGCCAAAGATAAATTTCCCCTGATAAAAAAGGAATGAATAGAGTTTTGTGTCTTCCTGTAAGCAACTGCATACACCTGCCCCTTACTGAGACGGTGACAACCCCCCTCTGAGGGGGACTGGCTAATGAAAAGGACAGAAAGCTCTAAGTCTGAACAGATGGATGATCCCTCTTCCTCCCACAAGCCCTTTGACACAAGGAGGACAGGGCAAGGAAATCTACTTTCTGCAAGACCACAGGAGAGAGCAACAATTGGTCCAGGAAACACAGACCAAGAGAGATATTGGCAGTAGTACTAACTAACAGTGTTGGGACTTTGATCTCTTCTTTGTTCTGGGGGCAAGGAACAAAGACACAGGCCAGGAGAGCTGATACTGAACAGACAGAATGGAACAGAGTGTAGCCTGCAGGAGAACTTCCAATGCAGCCTAGCTGTTACGACCCCAAGTGTATAGGGGTAAAGGGGTGTAACATTTAGGATAATTCTTTTGGAAGCAGGGGGGGTTTTGGTGAGGGACTAGGAAGCGTGATAAGGGTAAGGAACTAGAGTGGTGCCAAAGAAAAGAAAATAACAAACAAAATGGAGCTGGCTAGGACAGTGAGG